TAAACTCTTGGTGAAGTGGGCCTTCTGGAGATCCCACGCTCCTGGCTGGCACCATGATCAGCAGGTGATCACGGTGATCTGCCAGGAGACTGAGGGAGCACCCATGGCAAGAGACAGGTCTTGGCAGACCCAGCCACTGCCAGGTCAGGCTGGGGCTTACACCAGCGTGCTGGAGAGCATGCTGCTGCCCCTGATGCAGGTATTCACAGGGATTCAGTATTAAGGGGTAAGAGTCTGGGTTTGGTTTTCACTTTTTCATCTTATTGTAAACAGTATTTGCTAGTCAAGAAAACGCGTTACTTGGTAAGAACCCCTGCAGCCCAGCTCATTTCAAGAGCCTCATCAAGAGCCAGCTTGGACGGGGCTTAGCAACCTGCTCTAGTGGCAGGTATCTGTGCCTGTGGCAGGGCAGTTAGAACTAGATGAGCCTTAAGGTCTTTTCCAACCCAAACCAGTCTGTGATTCTGTGATTTATTGTAGTAAACCAGAAGGTGCTGTGTTTGATATGGTTGTGGCAAATCGACTGGCCCAGACCTGACTTGTCTCCTTTGGATGTAGATGGGTCTTTACGTATTGTGAAACAATGAGCTTTTGACATCTGTTTGACAAGGGAGGAAGAAAGAGGCAAATTCAGTTTTACAGTATACACAATTTTAATAACAAAACTTTTCTGTACACTGCACTTGGTTTTCCTCCATTACTTACACCCCCTCCCACCAAAAGTTGCCTCTTTAAACATAATTTAAGTACAATGCATCGAGGACTCTCTTTAATCTCTGGTTGCTAAGCTAGTAGAATAGTTCACTTGCTAATGTTTTCATCAGGAAAAAGAAAAATGGGGTTGGTTTTGTTTGGGGTTTTATACAAAGGAGTGGTTGAAGGGGAGCAGTTGTAGCTCAACAGTGCTCACACCAGAGGTGCTCAACTGCACCGTGTTTGCCCTTAGTGCAAGTTTTGTGCAGTCTGAGGCTTGATTTTATCCATCAAAGCTTCCTGTTACCTTTGCCTAGATACCTCTTGAAGGGTTTTTATGCAGGATGTGAAATGCTGAGTTTCCAGCTGACTCTGAAATGATCTTAAAGCATCCTGCTAGCATGGTGGCTTAAGAAGCAAAGCCTGGCATCTGTTTTAGCAAATGGGACTTCTTGTAGTGAAGAAAGGCATGGGGATGGAGGAGCTGCTGTGCAGCTGCCTTTGATTTTTTGTTGTTTCCCTTCTTGTTTCCTTGGGGGGGTGTGGGTGTGGGGGGTGTGTGTGTGTGAAAAATCCTGTATCTCTCACTGAACTTTTAATTTTCATGGAAAGCTTCACCAGAAAGATGAAACTCAGCTTCTGGGTAGATTTCATAAGTCTGAACAGATGGATTTTGATAGCTACGCAGATCACAAAATTAAATCCACTTTATTTTCATTAAAGCAGTACAGGAATTAACTTAGACACATTAAATAAAGGGTCTAGTGCAGGTTTCTGGTTTAAAGCTGCTGGATATTTCTGATTTGACGTGTTAGCAGTAGGCCAGTGGCTTGTAAGGGGGGTAATGGGACATAAAGCTCAGCTGCTTGGATTTGCTTATTGCTGAAAAATGAGATAACTTCTGCTTGGAGGGAAAGGAAGCAAAACCAAACATTGATGCAGCAGTATTAATTACGTTTCCATCTGATGGGAGCCTTGTGCAAAGGTGCACTTCAGCTGGAGACTAACCGCTAACCCATTTCACTCTTCATCGAGTAATCCTTAGTTGTGTGCATTTAAACATGATCTAATGCAAAGCAACTACCAAGAGGGGAGCTGGAAGCATTAATTCAGACCTGTTCCAGCGTGATGACTCAAACTGATCTGGTACTGCTGGCATTCATTTCCCTGATGCAGGGGTGGGGAGGAGCAGAAGCTGGCTGGAGATAAGTGAGGCTGGGGGAGACCTTTGGGTGGGATGTGGATCTCAAGAGCAGTAGAGAAGTTCTCATTTCTAAAAGGCCCTGAGCTCTTGGGTGAGGCTGTGCTTGAAGGGGGTGGAGCACCTGTGGAATACCTGTAGAAACTGAGGCTGAGCCACAGAGATGATATTTGGGGAGAGCAAATGAACAACCTCTCATCATCAGCCAGTGCTCAAGCTGAAGCACTATTAATTTAAACCAAATCGTCATGGTTCTTGTGCCATAAAATAAATCAAAGACTGTTGAGTAACACCATTATTACAGTTCCCTCCTTTCCTGGAAGAGTCACAAGCAATTGAGCCTGAAAGACAGTAACTTTAAAAAAAAAAAAGAAAAGAAATAATAAAGAGAGAGCAGCCTCTGGTTGTGTCCTTGTGTAAAGCTCTGCCTGCCGTTCCCTGTCTCTCCTAAGGGAATTCAAGCTGACTTCACTGCTAGTGTTTGACATTCTATGAGTTTTATGATACCTGTTACCCTAAATGTAATGTTTGCAGAATTGCTCTGCTTATGCCTGGAACCTGGCAACAAATGGTTTTGGAAATGGCAGACATAAAGCACGGCATTTGGGAGATTGGCTGCATATTCCTGTGTAGTGCAGAGGTAAAACTGTGCAGTGCCGTGTGAGGCTGTGTCTGCTGGACCCTGCTTTGGTGCCTGTGAGGCAGGGCAGCGCTGTGGGACCAGTGGGACTGGGAACAGTGGTGGGGAAGGGGAGTTGGGTGCCTGGGTGTCTTTGTTGTAATGCTTGGGAAATTGGTATGAGGGACTGGGATGGAAAAGAGGATTAAATCCAGCATTGCTGGAACATCTGACTTTTCTCTTCTTGGGCATAATTATGTGCTAACAAAGATGGAGTGAGCCTCTGCACAGAGTGTTGGGAAAGCACCTCGTTGGGAGGAACCTTTGGCGCTTCAGTCAAGCAGCCACTTCTCGTTTCCATGTGGAAGACTGAATGGTACCTCCTGAACTGTCTTCCAGCAGGGTTTCTGCTGGGTGTGAAGGAGAGAGGTGGAATTCCTTCTTGCAAAAGCAGCTGAGGACATCAGAGTTCAGCATTGACATCTGATGGTTGATGAGCATGTAGCCAGATTACTTTCTGCCAGTGTAATTAATGAGCTCAGTTATAACTCGGTCTTTGTGGGTACCCTACAGCTGTACATTAGAATCAGCCCCAAAGTATTTGCTTCCCACTGCAGGCTATCATGTTGGAGGTAAGGGAGGTGCACAGTGATGCCTGCTTGCCTGCCCAGAGCAGAACAAAACCCTGGCCATAAGGGAGGAGCTGGTGTGGTAAGGAATGTGGCAAGTCTTCCTTGATACCCTTGGACACCAGTACCTTTTTGTATTTATCAGCTTGGGTCTGGCCTTTTGGCCTGCGTAGAATTTAATCATACAGAATATTTGCTCTCTGTCCCCCTGCCCCACGGCATTTATTGTATTCAGTTTAAAGCAGTAATTGATTTCCTACAGTGTGTAAATTAGCTCATTGGAGTATAAATAGTTACAAGGGTTCAAATATCTCTATGGAAAACCATTAGGCTTCACTGAATCTTTTCCATTAAAGTACAGAGTCACAGGAAGTAAACAAAATTTGCTTTATAATAAGGGCACTGGATGTGAAAGCAAAATGATGCAAATTAATATCTTCAAACCCAGTCACTGGAAAAAGCTTTATGTAAAATCTGAACAGAAGTCACTTATCTTGCTAGAATTGCCTTGGACGACTTCATTCCACAATAAAACATCAAACTGTTGTATAATTGCACCCTAAATACCTCACTAAGTGGTAATACAGATATAGAAAAGCAGAGTGAAATAGCAAACAGATTTTTATGCAGTGCTTTCTTTTCCATTCAGAAAGTTTGCAGAGTAGTTGAGTACAACACAATTAGCATACTGCAATTACTGATTTGGTCAAGGTATGGCAACACTGTGAGGAATTTCTTCATCCATGTGTGCTGGGAATTGTTTGACACTGCAGCATTGGACACAACACATTGGTTTTTTTGAGTTATACATACATGTGTATATATATATATAAAACCCTTCCATCCCTCTGGTCCTTTTAGCTTTGGTTCGAATGTTTCCAAGATTGGAGCAGTTGACTTAAAAATACTGGAATCCTTTGCAGCTCCCCCCTTTCTCCCCCTGTGGCACCCGAGTACCAGCACCACTGCATAGATCTGCAACTATTTACATAGAATTTCAGAATAGAGTATAAATAGCAGTATGGTACTTCTGCCTCAAGAAATCAAATTGCTCCTGAAGAATGAGGTGCGTGTGTGTGTATATATATTTCTATATGATTTCTTTAAACATATACTAGTTTAAATTCTGTCCCACATCAAGTAAGAAATGAAACATTTTTCAGTGAACTATTCTCTAACCTAATTATATTATCCTAATTTACCAGAAGGTAAGGGATTGGGGGGTTTAAACTGGTAGTTACCTTGAATTTAGGAAGAGGGAGGACAAGTGAGAGCTTATATTACAGGGGCTAATTCTGTCTCCAGAGAAACCAGTGGAGTTAGTGCATGAAAATAGCTTTCAGGCGAGAGGAAGCCTCAGCTGGGGGAGGGAGCGGGGGGACAAAGAGAGGCTTCTTCCTCCCTTCCCTCTTCTCCTCACCCTCCCGCTTGATATTTACTTTTAATTAAGAAAAAACTTGCATTAAGGGTATTTACACATGAAATGCTGTTTGTTCATAGGCGTATGTAATTAGCCTGAATTCATGAAAAGCAGCAGCGAGGCAAACCAGAGAGCCGATAAGAATTAAATGCACTTAATATTTCAAATCGATCCTGTTGTACTGAGCCTTCCTAAACAAGCTACGCTGCCACTTTTTAAGTGCCTGGAGAGTCCTTCCTGCTCATTTGTGACCATCCTCCTAATTTGTGATCATCCTGCTCATTTGTGACCGTGTGAACTGCTCCTTTCTGTAGCTCCTCTGAGCTTTAGCAAGGCTCAGTTAAGCCAAACCAAATGTGCAGGTAGGAAAACTGCATTTAAAATAAATCTCCAGGTCCCCAGTGCACCGAATTTCCCACCTGGACCCTTTGCTGCTCCTTTCTTGTTTCCCCACCCTTCTTTTTGTTTGTATTTTTAACTGGAGTGAGATTATCAGAGGAGGAAAATCCTCCTCCAGGGCTGCCTTTAAAGTGACCGGAGCCAGCTGGAGCGGTTGGGATCCTCCAGCTGCAGTGGAACAAACGGAGCGTATGTCCCCCCGCAGAGCTCTGTGCCCTCTCCAGCATCCTTCCCCTCCCACTGCTTTCAGTAGCAAAAGTCGAATATGGAGACTCAGGTCTAAATGTTTACACACAGTCATAGAATTACATAAACATGAAACATCTTACAGAGTTGGAGGTGAGCATCTTTTGAGACTTTTCAACATTAGGAGTGCAAGTTTAATGTAATCCATTGCGTCCTTAACACTGAAAATAGTATGGGTTTATCATTTAAAAAGAAACAAACCAACTTAAAAATACTGCACCACTCCATAAACAATGTTTCCATTAAGGAGCTTGGAAAATTAGGCTTTATGTCAACATCTGTAAAAATTAGACTCTGATGTAGGTCCCCTACAATTTTAAAATAGGTTACTTATCTGGTTTCATTTGGGATGGCATATGGGTATTATACTTCACATTCTTTGTACGGCAGCTGCTGACACTTGCACTGTCCGTAGCCGTTAATGATGATGAAGGGTCCTTCGTGGGTGGGTTCGTATTCGTTATAGGGTCCTTGGTCTGACATATTTGCCATATGCAGCCGCGTTTGGGAGCGGAGCTGCCTGTGGTTTTGAATCATTGAGCACTGCCTGATTCTTCTTAATGTGGGAGGGCAGCACTTCCTGGAGATGAACACTATAAAAATGATAAAAAAGAAAGAAAACAATAAAGCCATTGTTCCTGTAATTACCCTCTGAGTGAAGATGGCATTGTTTGGCTCAGGGAAATGTTCTTCGGTGGTAACGACCATGCCTGCTGTAGTTGGGATCTCTTTGTCTCCCATATGGAAATGAGAAGAGCTTATTCTTTTGGGGTACTCGGTAGTCGGAGCTGCGTACGTCGTAGCCACGGTCGTAACAACAGTTGATAAATTCCAGCAAAGCTGAAAACCATAGACTGCATCCAGAATATCCTCTCCCTGGGTGTGGTCGGGGCTGTGGCAGAGGATGGAGTGCTCCCACCGACCTTGGAATCCACTCAGCCAGGTGGCCAAAGCGCAGATCTTGGGGCTGCATTCCCACAGATTGCCGGAGAGGCCCACAGTGGTGAGGGACGTCAGGGAAGTCAGGATCTTGGAATCCAGGGTGGTGAGCTTGTTGTTATCCATGAGGAGGGTTTTCAGGTTAGGCATAGTTTCAAAGACGGAGAGGTCGATGGCTTTGATTTCGTTTCCAGTCAAATCGAGCTTTTCTAAGGTGCCCCAGGTCCACTCCATCCCACATGTCAAGTTGCTGATTTTGTTCCACTGCAAGAAGAGCGTGTGCAGGCTGCTCAGCCGGAGGAAGTGAGCAAAATTAATCTTTGTCAGCTGGTTGTGCTCGAGGTGAAGCTCCCTCAGCTTGATTAATCCTGCAAATCCATTGCGAGCCAAACTTCGCAAGCGGTTTGTGCTCAAATCCAGGAACTCCAGGCTACGACAGTCCCAGAACAGGCGGACCGGGATGGTCCGCAGGGAGTTGGATCGCAAGTGCAAGGTCTGTAGCTTGCGAAGGCCGTAGAAGAGCTCGGGGTGCAGAGAGGATAACTGATTAAAAGAGAGGTCCAAATTCTGCAGGTTAAGCAGCTGGCTAAAAGTTGTGTTTGGCAAATGAAAGATTTTGTTGGAACTTAAGACTAATTCCTTAAGTTTATACAGTCCTTGAAAAGAATCTTCTCTGACTGTTGCAATTTGATTATGATCTAAGTGAAGCCAAGTAAGTTGACTGAAGCTTGCAAATTGATCCCTTTCAAGTTCAGAAATATAATTGTGCCTCAGTGACAAACCTAGCGAGCCCTTTTCAGTGGTGTTTGGCACTGAGTGATACCCCTGAGAGTCACAGTAAAAGAGCAGCTTCTCACAGCGACATTTTGGTGGACAAGCCATGCCCAAGGCAGGCAGCATTTTTAAAACCATACTCATTGCATATAGTGCTGCCAGCATACGAGCCCCTAATGGCCACTTGAAATGTAAGCCTGCAGAATATAATTTAGGAAAACAACAAGATAGGATAGCCTGATCAGTACACTTGGAACATCACGGTGGAAGATTTCACTGCAGATAACATTGCCATGCATTTCCAACAAGCTAATTCTAAATGCAAGAAACAACTTACTATGAAAAACAGAACACTTGGATATTACACTGAGGAGCAGTCTTTAGCTCTATTACAGTGTCAAAATCGGAAAACATATCTTTTTTTTTTTTTTTTCATAAGGTTCAGTGCAGAAAAATTGCCTTTAGCATCTACCGGCTCCTCTCCAGCCCAGCCAGTCATTCACTACCCAAGGTATAGAGAAACGCAGAACTTACCCATTCTTTTGAGTACATTGGAGGTTGCATTCAGTCGTAGTTTTAGACTCAACGTAGTGAGTCTGTAAAAGGCTCTAATGTAAGAAAGCCTTTGAATAATTTACCGGGTTCGGTGTCCTTTGATATTAGTGCAAAATCGAATCCACGAGGCTCTCTTGGAATATTCCTTTTGAAATCACTGGCTTGATCTCCTCTGACAGGTCTGCGATCTTTAATTTGAGGCTTAATACAAGTTTCCGTCCTCTGTGGCTGCTCAGCTGTTTAAGTGAAGCTCACGTTTTCTCTTTCCGCGGCTGTGGCTTCCTTTAGTCCTAACTTGTTGATGGCAGATGGGTGGCTTATTGCTGAGAGAAGCTCCTGTAGTAGCATGAGTGCATTTACTGAAAGGCTTTTCAGGGAAGCGGCACAAGAATGGATTTGCTTATGCGCTGCGACCACACAGGGCTGTATATAGGCTGACGTCACCTGGTGACGTTCCTTTTGTTTGGGTTTTCCAGAAGCTTTGCTGTTTTAATGCATTGTGGTGCATACTGTGATCGTGTTAAAGACCACCAGTAAGAGGAGAGGGGGAGAAAAACCAACAGCAGGAGTCCTTCGTCCCCACGACTGAAGGAATAGGGAGGACTTGCAGCACCCAGCTCCCCCCCACATCCGTGCTGGCTGGAGCCAGTTGGCGTTAGGAGCCGCGCAGAGCTGCAGTTGGAAGCTCCTCGGTGCTCACTGCTGCCGGTTTCTCTTAAGTATCACAGCATAAAAGGAACTTTGAGATGCAAAATAAACACAGTGTGAATAGAGGAGGCTGGTCAGCACCAGCTTTTCACAGAGGTGAGAGGGGTTTGGCAGCTTAAACAACTGTGTGTGACTGTGGTCCCTGCAGGAGTGGTAAAGGGAGAGAGGACAGGGGTTTAGGTGAGTGTGGTGCGTCCAAGTGCAGCACACAGCCCAGAGCCAGGGGCAGAGGTGGGCAGTTCAAGAGATGAGAAAGTTCTGGAAAAAGCAGAGCTTGCGTTCGGGTACAGGAAAAATTTAATTGGAATCCAGCTTGACAGCAGGCAGTTATGAAACGAGAAAATCTATTTTTTCCCCTGCAAACGGTGGCTTTTGTACTTGCTTTTTTCCTGGGGACTGGAGTGCAGGAGACGGAAGGGTGAGGTTGGTGTTCACAGTCGGGGCTCAGGGTGGTTGGAGGGCTCCCTCCTGGTCACCACTTCCATTCTGGTATTCTGTGCTCCCTGTGGAATGGGAGACATCACCTCTGCTAGCATCCCGCTGTAGGGCAGGTCACTGACAGCTGGGTGGGTTAGTTGCAGGAATCTGCATTTGCAGAGGCAGTGACCTGCAGAGCTGCCTGTGCTGGTGCAGCAGAGCCGGGCTCTGGCCAGAGCGTGCAGGCACCACGAGGAGGTGAATGTGCCGGTGCGGCTGCTTGTTTTAGAAGTTCATTGTCCTGTTCTGGGGAGGCCCCCCCCGATCCAGCTCTGGGGCAATAGCACAAGAGGGACGTGGGGCTGTTGGAGAGAGTCCAGAGGAGGCCATGGAGATGCTGTGAGGGCTGGAGCAGCTCTGCTCTGGAGCCAGGCTGAGAGAGCTGGGCTGGGTCAGCCTGGACGAGAGAAGGCTCCTTAAGGGGAGACCTCAGAGCAGCTCCAGTGCCTGAAGGGGCTGCAGGAAACTTGGAGAGGGGCTTTGGACAAGGGCCTGTAGGGACAGGCCAAGGGGAATGGCTTTAACCTGCCAGAGGGGAGACTGAGATGAGCTCTTAGGCAGAAGCTCTTCCCTGGGAGGGTGCTGAGGCGTGGGCACAGGGTGCCCAGAGAAGCTGTGGCTGCCCCATCCCTGGCAGTGTTCAAGGCCAGGTTGGACACAGGGGCTTGTGACCTCAGAATATGGGATGAGCTGACGCTAACAAGCTTCGTGTGCTGATGGAGAAAGGTGATGAATTTCACAAAATGAAAGATAAATTTAAGTCATTGTTATCTTTTGTTAAGAAGCTTTGGCTCCATAGAGGTAGTTATTTATATTAAGACTTGCTGTTTTCTGTCCTGGGTTCAGCATTTTTCTCCTTGGTAGCTGGTGCAGTGCTGTGTTTTGGCTTTCAGCCTGGGAACAGAGCTGATAACAGTGATGTTTTGGTCTGGCCAAGGACTTTGTGAGCCTCATGCTCTGCCAGGGAGGAGGGGAAGAAGAGAGGAAGCAGAGACAGGACACCTGACCCAGACTGACCAAAGAGGTATTCCATACCACAGCACGTCATGCCCAGGATGTAACTGGGAGTTAGCCAGAAGGGCTGGGGACTGTGGGGTTGGAGGAGGTATCGGTCAGTGCTTGGTCGGGCTGGGGGGGTGGGTTATCAGTCGGCTGGTGGTGAGGTGTTGTATTCTCTTCCCTTGTTATTTCCTTTATCATTATTATCATTGGTGGTAGCAGTAGTGATCTGCTAAGTTATACCTTAGTTACTAAACTGCTCTTATCTCAACCCATGGGAGTTGTATTCTTTTGATTCTCCTCTCCGTCCCTCCAGGTGCAGGGGGAGGGCAAGAAGGGGTGAAGTGATTGAATGAGTTGTCTGGCTGGGTTTAAACCACAACATTCTCCCATGTAATACAACCTGTGGTGCTTCTTTTGTCCTGTCTAGAAGGAGCTGAAGGGAAATGCAGAGTTGAAATAAAGGGATGGAGAAGGTGAACTCTTTAAAAATCACACAAGAAAGGAGACCTCAAATCCACCCAGAAAGCAAAGCAAACCACAAAACCTGACCCCAGCTCATCAGGAAAGTAACTGTCTTTAATGATAAAGTAAAATAGGAAATACTAGATAAGGTTCTTGAATTGCTCTGCCATACTTAATATTCCCACATTTGCTCTAGAATGAAAGAAATCCATGCAAAGAATTTACATGAACATTGCAAAGAACAAACCAATTTAGAGAGTTTATTCATGGTTCATGTTCATGGTACGAAAAGTAGAGGAGCTGGAATCCCACCTGGGCTGTTAGCTGCCAGCTGTCGGATGGAGATACCACACCAGAGTACCTGTGGTTGTGCTTCTGGTGGCAGCTCCTCCAGTGCAGATCCTCATTTGAAGTGTTGATTTGAATTATAACACTTAAATACAATAATATTTAAAGACAAGGTGCCAAAGGGTGGACTTAAAATGACAATAGCCAGAAAGTCCAGTGTTGCTGCTCTCCTATGCTCCCTCTTTTTACTGTTACCAGGAGGCTGAATTTTGTTATCTTTTGGGAAGGGTTTGCTTTTTTGCGTCGGTATCTGTTGGTAGAATCCTCCCACATCAAGATTGTGTAATTTGGCACAGAGTTTAGAGTTAATATTCAAACAGGGTAAGTTGCTGCCTTTCTAAAGCGCTCCATTCTTTGGCCTGTAACCAAGCAAGGGCTATTTAGCACCTTGCCAGCAAGTTTCCTGTTTGGGAAACTGTTAATGTGAACTTTATGGGTGCTTTTCTTAGGGAAACATGTTTATATGTGCACTTGTTGTGAAACAACTGATAGTACTGAAAGTGTGGTCTGATTCTCTGAAGTCTGGAACTCTGCAGTAGTGTTCATATTGTTCCTCAGGAGCTGCCTGGGTGTCAGGATGTTACCAGCTGGGATTAACCCCCAGTTGTCCACAAATGTCATGCAGTTGTGTTTCTCCTGAGACTGAAAACTCACTTGCAAGTGGAGGAAGACCACGTGTATGTGCTATCCGGGGACTTGTGCCAGAATGGGTGCTTCTAAGTACTGCCCTGAATTGTAGAGTGAATCGTAGAATCCCCGAATGGTTTGGGTTGGAGGGGACCTTAAGGCTCATCCAGTTCCAACCCCCTGCCACGGGCAGGGACACCTTCCACTGGAGCAGCTTGCTCCAAGCCCTATCCAGGCTGGCTTTCTGAATCCTTATGTGCAACATGGATTGGGAACATGGCATGTCTGCCTCAGGAATAAGCATGCTAGGACCAGATAACCCTTTGGGGGGCTTCTCCCTTGCCCTGCTTTCCCAGCAGCAGCAGAACTGGTTTTCCTGCTAAACCCACACACTGGAAAAGCAGAATTGCACCCTGAGGCTAGCGCTGTCATTTAGTTAGGCTGACATCTTGTGGAAGCCTTCCTAGTGTATTAAGAACAACAAATAAGCTAATTTTCCTTGATGTAGATGGGGGCTGTGTGATGTTCCTGTGCTGTGGGCTCAGAGGATGGCCAGCCCTGGAGCTGCAGGCAAGGCTGGGCACTGGGATTGCAGCACGTGTGTGCCCCATGTGGACAGACAGCTCACCCTTCTGCCTGAAGGAATGATTGCCTTCATTTCTGCTGGATGTTACCATGTCGGGGATCACAGGAGTATTTGCTCCTTCTTTGCTAACAGCCTTTGTGTTGTTGGTAAGGCTGAGGTGAAGGTGACAAGCACAGAGGTGTGGCTGTAGCACTGCTGTGCATGCGCTGTCACTTGGATGTGCTACCATGGAGCTGGGTTAGCAGTGAGCCCCAGGAAGTGGACATAGGAGAGAAAAGGTGATCCATCATCCACAGGCATGTCCAGCTCTTCAGGGCAGCTGCAGAGGTCCTTTGGGTGAAGGCAGTGACAGGATGGGACAGGGCACCATGGGCTGGGTGTTGCTATCTTCATGGGAGTAAGGACACATGTGTCCTGCTGCATAGCATGGTGACTGTCACCTCCCTATCTGACAGCTCTGTCCCTGGCTCTGGTTGCACATTTTAATCCCTCTTTGTAGCAGGGTGAGTGCAGGAGCCAGCCTTCCCCTCTCCATGGGTGCTGCAGGGCCACCGTGGCTGCAGCCTGGCACTGGGGAGGGATGCTGGGATAGGAGCAGCATGGCCAGCAGCCCAAGCTGCTTTGTTCACATTCTAGGTGATGGTAGTCCCCGTGCTCAGCTGAGCTATGGCTTTGCTGCAGGAGACTCCTTCCTCCTACAAATGAGTGCATAGTTCTGCTTCCTCAGCCAGCAGATCTCGGATATGAAAACAGCACGGAAATTCACATGTCATACTTGGCTGCTTACCCTTCCTGGTCTTGAATCAGCACTATAATATCTGAAATTCATTTGCCGCTCTAATATCATGAAAAAGGAGATGTATGGATGGTTATCCTTCATAGGCATGCAGTTAGGCCAGGTGGCAAGGCAAAAAATGACAGACTTAGAGCACTGAATCTCCTGCTGCCCCACAAAGCACGGCTGGGCAACTGCCTCTGCAGTGCCTGCCCAGAGGAGCGGGTGCCAAACGCTCCTTGTCACCTATTAAATCACCATCATTGGCCACGATGCAGCCTGTTGTACAGACAGCTCCGGAGACAAGGAATTCGCAGATGACCTGAAGCAGAAACCTCCCTTCAAACCATCTCATGTAGGTAGTGGCATGTTGGGTAGCAGGCAGGGCAGAGTAGTGCTCAGTCACACAGCGGTGGCACATCTGGCTCACATCTGGGTGCTGATTTGGAGAGCAGGGATGCAGGGCTCTGCAGGGGTGGTGCCGGGAAGGAAGCACTATTTCTCTCTCCATTTTTAGCTTAACCTAAACTGGTGGTGAACCATGGAGATTAACAATGACAGGGTTTGTTACTTACCTCTAAAAACATGGCTTTGTGAATAACTCATTGTAGTACATGTGCTGCTGATCCTGGCAACATTCATGCACTGCCAGCACCATGCTCTGCTACCTTAATAAATCAGCTGGTGTTAGATCAGTAGCTGTAGGAAAAACTTGGTTCTGTTTTTTGTTTGTTTGAATTCTGATGGGAGGCCTACAGAGGGAATGCTTTGTGACAGGGATAGTGAT